GCCTGGAAGAGGGGCAACTGGGACAGAATCTGGTGCCCTGACTGGGACTAGAACCCGGTTGTCTGGCGCTGCAAGGTCGAGGATTAGCCTAGTGAGCCGCAGCACCGGCCTGATTGATCTTTCTGATGTGTTGTTGTATTCGATTAGCTCATATTTTGTTTGGGATTTTTGCATCTATGTTCATCAGGGATATTGGTCTATAGTTCGCTTTCTCTGTTGTATCCTTTTCTGTTTTAGGAATTAAGGTGATGCAGTCTTCATATAAGGATTTTGGGAGGATATCCTCCCTTTCAATTGTTTTGAATAGCTTGAGAAGAATTAGAATTAATTCTTCTTTAAATGTCTTGTCTTTAAATGATTGGTACAATTCAGCAGTGAACACCTTGTCCTTGGTTTTCTTCATTAGGAGGGTCTTTATTACTGATCCAATTTCCATCTTGGTTATTGGTTTGTTTAGGTTTTCTATGTCTTCATGACTCTATTTTGGTAATTGTTTTTAGAAATTCCTGATGATTTTTTTTAATTCTGTGGTATCTATTGTTATATTTTCTTTTTTACCTCTGATTTTATTAATTTGGGTCTTCTGCCTCCTTTTTTGGTTAGTTGGACCAAAAAAACCAGTTCTTCACTTCACTGATCTTTTTTATATTTTTGTTTCAATTTTGTTTATTTCTTCTCTAATTTTAATTATTTCTTTCCTCCTACTAATTTGGGGTTTGGTTTGTTGCTGTTTTTCTAGGCCCTTGAGATACATTGATAGCTCATTTATTTGGTACCTTTCCAATTTCTTCATGTATGAAACAATTGTTATAAAATTTCCTCTTAACACTGCTTTTCTTGTAGCCCATTAGTTTTGATAGATGTATTATCATTTTCATTCATTTCCAGAAATTTTTTTTATTTCTCGTGATTCCTTCTATGATCCACTGTTCATTCAATCATGTTGTTCAGACTCCATGTGTTTGCATATGATTTAGAGATTCTTGAGTTATTGATTTCCAGCTTTATTCCATTTTGGTCAGAGAAAATGGATGGTATAATTTAACTTTTTTTTTAATTTTCTGAGATTATCTTTATGACCTACCATGTAGTCTATCCTAGAGAAAGTTCCATGCACTGATGAGAATAATGTGTATTTTGCAACTTTGGTGTGAAAAGTTCTGTAGATATTAGTTAGGTCCATTTGTTGCACAGTGTCAGTTCTCTTTATTGATTTTGTGTCTAGTTATCTGTCCATTGATGAAAGTGTGGTTTTGAAGTTCCCCCATTACTATTTTATTGGTGTCTATATTTCCCTTTAGATCCATTAACATTTCTTTTAAATAGTCTGATGCCCTGTAATTGGGTATGTATAAATTTATTGTATTCATATTTTCCTGTTAAATTGATCCCTTAATCATTTCATAGTGCCCTTCTTCATCTCTTTCAGCAGTTTTTGAGTTAGAATCTATTTTGTCCAATTTTAGGATGGCAACACCTGCCCTTTTTGCTTTTCATTAGCATGGAATATCTTTTTCCGTATTTTCACTTTCAGTCTGCATGTATCTTTGTTGGTGTAGTGCGTTTCTTGTAGGTAGTATATAGATAGGTCTTGTTTTTTTTAATCCATTCGGACAGTCGGCATCCTTTAATTGGAGAGTTGAGGCCATTTACATTCAAGGTGACTATTGATAAGTAATGATTTGCCTCTGCCATTTTTTCACAAATATTCCTATTTCTTACTTTTAATTTCCTTTGTAATTTTACTGGGGGATTTTCTGCCTTCACATTCTTGCATAATGATGACTATGTTTGTGTTTCTGTGTATAGAACATCTTTAAGCATCTTTTATAAGGCTGTATGGGTACTGAAAAATTCTTTCAATTTCCGTTTGTATTGAAAAGTCTTTATTTCACCTTCATTCATAAATGAGAGTTTTGTAGGGTATATAGTATTCTGAGTTGACCTATTTTTTTCTCTTAAAGCTTGGACTATTTCTCACTATTCTCTTCTAGCCTGTAGGGTTTCTGACAAGAAGTCAGCTGTGAGTCTAACTGGAGATCTTCTAAAAGTAATCTGGCATTTCTCTCATGCATAATTTAGAATCTTATGTTTTACTATTGAAAGTTTGACTACAATGTATCATGATGAAGATCTTTTCTGGTCATGTCTATTAGGAGTTCTATGTACTTCCTGTACTTAAACATCCCTTTCTTTCTCCAAATTGGGGAAGTTTTCTGTAATTCTTTCATGGAATAGGTCTTCTAGTCCATTCTGTCTTTTCACACCTTCAAGAACTCCTAAGGCCCATATGTTGGATTGTTTGATAGTATCCCATAAATCTCCACCACTGTTACAGGGACCTATGGGCCAACTTCTGTTGCTTTCCTGGATGCCTTAGAAGGGAGCTGGATTGGAAGTGGGCAGCCAGGTCTTGAACCAGTGCCCATATGGGATGCCAGTGTTGCATACAGCAGCTTTATCCACTATACCACAACAATGGCCCTGTTATTTTTAATTTTTAAAAAAGATTTATTTATTAGAAAGGCAGAATTAAAGACAGAGAGGGAGACACACACACACACACACACACACAGAGAGAGAGAGAGAGAGAGAGAGAGAGAGAGATCTTACATCCATTGGTTCATTCTCCAAATTTCTGTAATGGCTGGGGCTGGGCCAGGCCAAAGCCAGGAACCTGGAGTTTCTTCCTAGTATCCTATATGGGTGGCAGTGACCCAAGCACCTGGGCCATCTTCCAGGCACATTAGCAGGAGACTGTATCATAAATAGAGCAGCCAAGATTTGAACTGGCATCCATATGGTGTACCAGTATCACAGGTGGCAGCTGTGCCACAGTGCTACTTCTCTGTATTTTTATTTAACTTATTAAATGTTCTATTACTAACACCTCTGATACTTCTGTTTTGTTTTTCTTCAGTATCCCTAGCTCTCTGCAAAATTTCTTGCTCATGTCATGTACTGATTTCCTCATTTCATTTGACTTCTTTGTTATTTTGTGTAAACTTAGAACTAATATTTTTAATTCTTTCTCTGGCATTTCATAAATCTTTCCAGTACAATATTAACATAATATTTTGTTCTGTTAGAGGAATAGCATTGCCTTCCTTGTTCATGTTTCCAGTGTTTCTATGTTGAAGTTTCTGCACCTGGGGGATTTCTTGTTTCTAATGAGAAGGAAGGGATTTTGTTGGCTTTTGATCGAAGGCTTTGATTTTGCATATGTGCCTCTGGTGTTTGGTGGAGTTCCTAAGGCTTCCACCTGAGTTCCAGAGATGCGTCCTGAGTTGAGCCAAGGAGCTTTGGCCACAGTTTGTGGGTGGGGCAAGAATGACACCCAAGATGTGTACGGTGGAGTGCTTCTGGATGCAGTCAGTGCTAGAAGGAATGCTGGAGCTGCCTAATGTGCTTTGTGTGCCACCCCTTCTCTAAGCCAGGCCGAACCAGCTCACAGCCTAGAGGGAGCTTTTGATTGCCTTCCCATCTCACCCAGCCAGGCACAAACATCATCCAGAGTAACAGCCCACTCTGCAGCGTCTCCAATAGCCCCTCCCCAAGACCCATCCCCAGAAGGCAGGGAGCTTGGACTCTGCAGCAAGGCCTTGTGCATGCATGGGAGCCCAGCCACAATGCAGTACCCTCTCAGCTCTCTGATCTGTGCCCAGAATTCCCACATGGACAGAGTGCAGGGGACCCATTCTCTGCCCTGCAACTTGCCCTGGCAGCCTCCATCAGAAGTGGGACTGCTCCCAAGTCAGAAAAGAGTTCAGATGCATCTCCATCCCAGCAAGTTGTGTCTTGCTGTTTGATTGCCGGGAGGCAATGTGGCCTCCCTTCACAGTATAAAGTAGTCTCCTAGATCCCCACCAGTTCCCTAGGCTGAACTCAAAGCCAGTGGGGACATGGAATTCTCCCTCAGTCAAAGCCACCAGTAATGGTGGTTGCAGCAGACTCAACTTATCCTGGCAAGATGGTGCTTCCCATTTAGCATCCAATCTTGTAGATCCAGGAGTGGCTGGTGACACCATAGACAACAGTGTGTCTGTCCACTCTCCTTCCTGCCTCCATGAAGCCTGTTCTGTTCTACCTGTTCCCCACTGAGAATTTCTCCCCATCAGTCCCCTGGCAATGTGGTCCTTCCTGTGTTTTTCTGCTATCATTCCGTGGCTGAGGTCAGTGCTGCTTCTTACTATTTGGCCATCTTGGATTCCCCTGAATGTTGTTTATCAAGGCAATGATTTCTAAGCTCCTTACAGCAGCTCAGCAGAGTGATGACTCAGTAGGTGAGTTAGCTCAACAGAACATAGTAAGAACTAGTAATTTTATTAACTTTGGAGCCACCTCTGTTTTAGAGTCATATAAAAGTTTCTTACTTCTAGTCCTTTAAATAAATAGAGCATTACAGTAGCTTGGGCTCCTCTCCACAGAGTTTTGGCCATGATGCAGTCCAATCCTGCCTAGCCTAAGCACATTACCCATGAGATAATGGAAAATTCAGGGGTTTGTCTGTGGTCTTCCACTTCTCAGCTTATGAATTATGTTCTTCATGAGCCTATATATCTTATCCACAGTTGGTGGTATGATTGACTTGTGCCCATGTCCCCTTTAGAACAAAATCATTAAAAGTTCCACATGGAACTTTTACATTTCCGTCAGAGGTTGCTAAGACTTGACCACATTCCGTTTAATCTAAAAATTAAACTGTTTGAAAATTATTTTCCAAGTGTTTACTTTGTGTCTTTCTCTGTTCTGTAAATTGAGGGTAGTGTAGCTTTCAGGAAGCAAACACAACTGGAGTGAGGCAGTAGAAAGGATAGTGTTCTAGGACTGGATGAGTCAGAGAAGACTGTGAACGGTGTTTATCAGAGTAACCCGCAGGCCCTATAGCTTCAGAGAGCAAAAATTTCCCTGAAGTGCTTTCCAGCAGTCACATGATGTCAAAGAAAGATCCAGGGGGAAAATGCATGGAACGTGATAGCTTGCCTCAGCTGTCATGTCAGGCTGTCATGTCATGTTGGAGCAGGTCTGATGCAGCTGTAACGCAAAGACTTCTTGAGTGGTGCAAGGTGAACTGCAAATGTATTTGAGCAGTAGAGATTTTGTAATGCATAGAAGAGACACCTTGCTGTTTTCTCTGGGAAGGGTTGTTGATTTCAAGTTGACAGAAAAAAAAAAAAGCTCAGGTGGCAGGCAGTAGATGGAAACTCTAGTATGTAGAGTTCTCAGTTTGATTATAGTATAAGAATCGTGACTCTCAGTGTAGGTGCACTGTTAAATCACTTTCAAGCACTGAGGCAACTTTTTGACAGACCTAAAAAGAAATTCTCTCTGGATTTCTGGATTCTGGAGCTCAAGTAAGTGACCAGATTATTGATAATGGTTGGCAAAAAGGCTGCTTTCTTTGTCCTTCAACTTAACCTTAGGGGCTCTCCTTTTCTTCTAACTCTCTCATCTTGACAATCTTTTGATCACAGAGTAAGGGGATGTAGGAGTTTAGCAAGTTAAAGACAGTGATATACTTCTAAAAGAGAAGATTTGTTTTCAATATTTGTTTTTCATATTGCTAATAACAGTCCAATTTGCTCAGTTTCAAAAATTGTCCCATGTATTGAGTGTTTTTTTAAAGAATACAGGGAAAATGAATTGCCTGACAGACACTCCATTATCAAGACTCCTCTGCTGAAATATAGTTGGTACAATTATTAATTAGAAGTATCCACTAAAAGGTTATTACTAATATTTTTGGATTTAATTTTACTGGTGCCCTTTTAAAACAGATTTTTGAAGCATGATTTACATACATCATATTACATATATGTAAGGTGAGTAATGTAAATTTTACATATATATATATATTTATACATCCTTGAAGCTATCATGGCAATCAATAAAATAAATATATCCCTGACTCCCAAAGGTATCTACATATACTTTCGTAATTGCTCCTTTCTCTCTCTTATCCTGTCCCCAGGAAATCATTGATTTGCTTCCATAAATATCATGCACATTTTCTAGAATTTTACATAATGAAATCATGCAATATTAATCATTCTTTCATCTGACATCTTCAATTCAGAGTAATCCTTTTGAGATTCATGTGTTGCTTGTGTAAATGCTTCATTCCTTTTTATTGCTGTATTCTTGTATATTACATCAAAATGATAATACAACTTGTTTACTCATTGATCTGTTGATAAAAACTTTGAGTAATTTACAGGTTTGGCTATTAAAAATAAGGCTACTATAACCATCTATTTATAAATCTTCATATGGGCATATGCTTTATTTTTTCTTCTGGTCTGCTTTTAAAATGAGTATCCATCAATCTTTCATAGATTCAGGGTTTCTGTTAATGATTTTGAATAGGAGTGGGCAGAAATGGAAGGAGATACCAGTACACCTGAAACTTATATCCCTCAGGAAATTATAATGTGCTTTTCTAGGTGGTATGCCAGCCAACTTTATTTCTCATAGGATATGAATCATCTAATGGACCAGTGTTAGTATCAATTATTTATCAGATTGGTAAAATACAGAACATATAGCATGTTATTTTAAGTATTTTCACATTGACTATATTCATTTTCCCACAATATTAGGTTGTTTTGGTGTCCAGGATCATAGGAATTTTTCCTTCAGATCTTGACTTTTTTTTCTAGCACATAGCTATGGTTTGAATAAAGTGCTACATTTCTCTTTAAGATATAAATTTTTGAGCTATATTTTTGTTGTTAACGTGTATGCTTATTTGATTTACTGACCCTGTAAAGCAACTCATATATTTCTTTCTTTTTTTTATTTGACAGATAGAGTCAAATGAGGAATAGCATTGCCTTCCTTGTTCATGATAGAGTCAGTACTTTTTTTATTTGACAGTGAGAGAGAGAGAGACAGAGAGAAAGGTCTTCCTTCCATTGGTTCACTCCCCAAATGGCAGCCATGGCTGGAGCTACGCTGATCCAAAGCCAGGAGCCAGGTGCTTCCTACTGGTCTTCCAAGTGGGTGCAGGCCCCCAAGCACTTGGGCCATTCTCCACTGCCCTCCTGGGCCACACCAGAGAGCTGGACTGGAAGAGGAGCACAGGACTAGAACCTGGTGCCAATATGAGATGCCGGTGCCACAGGAGGAGGATTAACCAAGTGAGCCACGGTGCTGGCTCTGGAACTCATCTATTTCTGACTTGTAGGTAAACTAGGATTGCCAGATCCAAGTATGATATATATGGTTTAGCTTGTATTTTTATCAGCAATGAGTCAAATTTGGAGTATCTCTCTTTCAAGTGCCAAAGATAGTATTACATATGCAAATATACATACACATATGCACACACACACACTTTGCTGAAGTTAGTTTTTTTAATCATGAAGGGATGTTGATTTTGTCAAGTGTTTTTATGGATCTATTGAGAGGATCACATGATTTTTGTCTTTTATTATATTAATAGGGTGTATGATATTACTTGATTTGCAGATATTAAACCAATCTTGTATCCCTGGGATAAATTCCATTTTGTCATAGTATATAGTCTTTTTATATGTGTCTATATTTGGTTTACTACTACTTTGTTGAATTTTTTATGTTTGCAATCATAAGAAATGTTGATGCATAAATGTTCTTTCTTGTGATATTTTTGTGCTGCACTGATTGCAGGAAAATAAGACCCTAGAATTCTTTAGCCAATATTACCTCCTTTTCTGTTTTTTGGAAAGATTAAATGAAAAGTTGGTATTAATTCTTCTTTAAGTAGCAAAATTTATCAGTAGTACCATCTGATTATTCTTTATGGAAAGTTTGTGGTTATTAATCAACATCCATTTGTTATGGATCTAATCAGACTTTACAGTTATTCTTTTTTTAAATTTATTTGACAGATAGAGTTAGACAGTGAGAGAGAGACAGAGAAAAAGGTCTTCCTTCCGTTGGTTCACCCCCCAAATGGCTGCTACAGCCGGAGCTACGCTGATCCGAAGCCAGGAGCCAGGTGCTTCTTCCTGGTCTCCCAAGCGGGTGCAGGCCCCAAGCACTTTGGCCATCCTCCACTGCCTTTCTGGGCCACAGCAGAGAGCTGGACTGGAAGAGGAGCAACCGGGACTAGAACCCAGCACCCATATGGGATGCCGGTGCCACAGGTGGAGGATCAACCAAGTGAGCCACTGGGATGGCCCCTCATTTTAGATTTTTATAAGTTGCAACACTTGTAGTGCTTTACATTTTTGTATTTGAATCCATAATTTTTAAAGCACCTTATTTTCCAAAGACTATTCTTTCTCTGTTGAATTACTTTGAGTGAGAGTGGGAGGCTATTGTAACCAAACAGCATGATGTGGGCATAGGGATAGACACATTGATCAATGGAATAGAATAGAAAAACCAGAAATTAATCTACACATCTGTATCCAGCACATCACTGACAAAGGTATATAAATACTCCTCTGAGAAAGAGCAGTCTCTTCAGAATGGTGTTGGGAAAATTGTATTTCAACATGCAGAAGTTTGAAACAAAACCCCTAACTTAGACCTATATGAACAGCACAGTGACTGAGAGCCAGCAGAGAGACAGGAACAAGGCGTAGTGCAGCTCCTGCCTCGGCTCCCTGACTACAGGGACAGAATCCTGCTGGTAAAAGACCAGAATAAGGCACCACAGCCCCATCACCACCATAGACTGGCCACCCTAGTCATGGGAGAGTTCCACAGTTCTTGCTGCCGAAGTCCAGTGGAGAAAGCTGGTAATGGTCTGAACAAGTACTCTGCTCCTCGACTGCCCACAACGTGCCAGACCTGAGCTTCTGCCTTCCAGCCACGGCCAATGTCCATTCTGCCTATGTGACAACAAGTAGCCCCATCACTACCAGAATACCAAGAACCAAGGCCAGGATTCTTCCCAGGGAGGAGAGAAGACCCTGTGCATCCCGCACACGCAGGATTTCTGAGCACCAGTCCCAGAGCCACATTATCTTGGGAAGTTACCCTCAGTTTTGGGGGCTTGGCACAAGCAGCATACTGTGCAAATTCCCTGAGGACAAGATCAAGGAAGTTCTCTTCTTCTGCCCTTTCACAGGGTACTGGTGGCCAGGGGGCAAGCATGTTCTGTAGGAACCGGGGCAGTTCCCTCTGCCCTGCAGCTTTGGGACTCACTGTGCTACCATCTCAGGAATAACTTGCAGTTAACTGTTGGATCTTGAGTGAGGACCCTATCTATGTTTCTACGCTTCAGGCTGGAAGCTCTCAATCCTCAGTCCTCGGAGTAGCTGACGCTCACCCTGTGAAACCTAGGTAAGGACTTCCCTTCCTCCAGGACTGAGACTGCTGTTAGCATATTCCTGACAGTCATTGGAACCTACCCTACAGGACCCAGAGAGGAACATACCTGCATTCCACTGCTCCAGACCCATACCTACTAGTGTACAATTCCCAGCCCCTGTATTCCTCTTGTGGGACTGGGGCTAGGTACCCTTCACATACCCCAATGTTTGGACAAGGGATTTTGGTGATGTAAGTCCTAACATCCATCATGTTCACCCAGCAGGCCATGGGAAGGTTCTATCCATGTCACACAGTCCCATGAGTACAGTTCTTGATGCCACAGGCCTAAGAACCACTGGGGTTTGCAAAGCAGAACAAGAGGGCAGCCCTCTCTCTGTCCCACACTAGGAATGTGCTTGTAGTCATCACATACCATAGTGTGACTGGCAGTTCACTATTTGGGGAATGAAGACACACACCTTTGGAAGCTCACATACACCCTTGGAAGCCCCCCTCCATGTCACTCTGGCTGGGGGTCTTTGACTCTAATAAATCTTGCTTTTAAATCTCTCTGCTTGTCTGCTTGGAAATTCTTCTTCCACGTGAGACAAAGCACCAAGGTCATAATATTGTCTCCACTGACATTCCCTACAACATTTTGGTGCCATGACTCAGATAACAACTCCAATGTGATACGGATCCTGCTCGAGTTCAACTCCAGCCAGTGTCGGATCATCCTGCCAGACCAGTGAGCATGCAGACCACTATAGCTTTATTCAGAGAGCCTCAACTCCTCCAGAGTAACTCCCATTTTCTCAAAAACAGCGGGTCCCTGTCAGCCCATTAAATGTGATTAGCATGAATGCTGACCAAGGCCAGAGCAATCCCATGGAGCTGAGACTCTATTCTATCCACTCTTCTCTGGTGTGGTTTGGCTCTTCCACTGGGACTGGCAGAAGGACTTGAGGCAACTGATAGATTCTGGCTGGGGCTCCACTCCAGTGTTTCTGGAAGTCTGTGGCCAGGCACTAGACCCCAGTGGTGGTGGGCTGTGAAACACCTCCCCTCCCTATTGTGTGGGTTGGCCCTTCATGTGGGACTGGCAGAAGGACTTGAGGTAACTGATAAATTCTGGCTGGGGCTCCACACCAGTGCCAGTCCAGTTGGGCTGAGAAACGCACTTCCCGGCAGGGAGCAAGTCCTCTGCTGTTTGGGAGTCCTCATGAGGTGTAAAGCCAGGGGCCCTATTCTTCATACTTCTCATCTCAGCTCTGGAATGTTGGCTGGTCCAACTCAGCTTCCTTTCATGAGGATTGGCCTATCATACGGGACTGGGAGAATGGCTTGGAGTCATCTTGAAATTCAGTTCAGGGCCACTCTCTGGAATTTTTCAAGGACTCCCTGATGGACACCAGATCTTGATGACCCATTAGGGTGCCAGCCGAAAACTGCATTTGGTTCTTCCTTCCTCAGAGATTAATTTGTCAGTAAGATGGGGCCACAGCTTAGAGCGAAGCCAAGGGCTTTGGGCTCCATGCCTCAATGAGTTTTTCCCTTACCCCAGATCCTGACAAGATCTCTGTCTCTGCTCCTCTAAATGCTTGCCATACATCTCTAGGTCTCTTCAATTCCTACAAACTCAAATTCTTGGCCCCATTAGCAGGTATTTCCTCAGTATTTAGTTCAATAGCTCTGGGTTAAAGTTCAGTTATTGATTTTTGCAGACAGGTAGCTTGTCAATCCAGACTATCATTAAGTCACCATGTGGCCTGAACTTGTGCAGACAAGTCTCAGCATGTCTGTGGGATCCCCTAGCTTCCTTCTTGAGTCCGTTCTTCTGGGTCCCACTGTTGGATCTTCCTATGTAGTTCCTGCCTCAGGAAGTTTGCTGTTTCTTTATTCCTTGTCTGCCTAGTCACCAGCATAGGCAGTAACCAGCACTGGCACTCTTTCACCAAACTCTAGCTTAAAAATACCTTTGCTAAGGCTCCCGCCATGAAGGCTCATTGTCAGAATCAGGCCTATTAGGTAAGACTCAAGGTTAAGAGGCATTGATCAACTACTTTTCCCTACAGAAAAATGCCTCGTCTTCTGCACCATCATCTGGCCTGGGCACAAGCTAGAGGATGGAGAAATTAGCCTAAGTGAGTTGTGAAAAGTGCCAGCCCCTCTACTCTGACTCTCCATCTCTCAGAACCTTGTTTCCTAACTGATCTCTTCCCTCTCTCACCCGGTATGTGCTCCAATATGCATTAAATTCTTTTCCAGGGTGTCACAGCGTCTTTGGGTCTATTTAGTGAAGCACCAGTGCCCCTCTTTTATGGAGTTTGACTATTGTTGAGGTTTTTAATCCCAGAGGAGGGTTTTTTTAATCAGGTGACCATTGCCCCATTGTAATTTTGCCAGGGGGCTTCTAGGCAAGTAGCTAGGCCCAACAACTTCAGATGCCATTGAATGTATATGTTGATAAAAAGTCTTGAAATTGAGACACCTTCCAACCTGATTCTAGGCTGGGGCTAAAGATTCTAGGTTGTGTCTAAATGTAAACTTTGATACTCTTAACACCTTATATTATATGGAAAAACTATTTGGGCTTGCTAACATGCTTTCATAAATTGTCCGTATGAAAATAGTTTAATGCTGCTTGAAAGTAACTAAGGTTGAAATCGACCGTTTTTTATTAGAAATAATGTATACAATCACTGACAACATATTTCAGTTACAGCACAGCTTGGTATCATCTTAGTTGTTCAAGCACAGGAATCCTGCAGAAGCTTTCCTTGCCTTACTGTGTGTGTTTAGGCACCCGCATCTTTGTGTTTGCCTTTTGGTTCCATCCTCCCAGTCTTTCCCTTGGAATATTGCCAGCTGGAGAAACTGCTCCTTTAATAAGTCACGAAGTGGAAGAGAGAAATGTGGGCATGAAGGAGTGGGACTGACGGATTGTGAACCTGAGAAAACCATGCAGCAGAATGTGGTACGTTTATTGAGCACTAAGAAGAATAATTCTCTGAAACAAGAGTCTTAAGGCTGCCCGTTCTTACAAACTTCACTTTGTGCCTCTATGCAATCCACACCCCATGTCTCAGGGCCTTTATGGTTCTGATCTCATTTCTAGCTATGAAGATTAAATCCTCTTCTTTACCTGCTTATGCATTCTCCTGCAAGCGCTGTCATCGGCTTCAGGTAAGAAATCTGTTTTGCTGTTGTTGTTGTTGTTGTTTTTGTACTCAGCCACAGCTTCAGGAAGAAACTCGGTAGGTTTCCAGTGTCCAGAACAGCATCTAAGGATCTTAGGCATCCACACCCCATCTTAGCTTCAAATGAAAAGCTGAAAACCCGAAAATCAACAAGTCCTCTTAGATGCATACAAGAGAAGAGATTGCAGGACAAGCGGCTGTCCACGGAGTTGGAGTGACAGGCAGGTAGACACAGAGACACAGAGACCTCTGAGGGAATCACCAGTGGGGTGGGGCAATCAAAGCTAATTATGGAATTACTGGACACCAGTGTGGACCAATCTGAAAGTGAAAGCTTCCCAGATGCCTGGTCCTTGACAGCACGCTTCCATGCCTTTGACCCCAGGATTTCTAGCAGGTTTCCACAGCGACTGTTGAAGAAAAATCCTTCTTGCTTCCTGCAGGTGGGGAAAGTCATATTTTGAAATATCTCTTAAGCAGTCCTGCCCTCAGCGGAAACTATACCAGAGCCCCACTTATTAGGTTTCCTCAGAGTTTAACTGATCTTGCAGAAGGGAAAAATCCAATCCAGCCCTCAATTACCCTATCCCACCTATGGGGGGAGTGCGCGGTGGGGGGGTACTGAACAGCCAAGGGCACAGCTTCACCCTGAGACTTAATCACGCACTGGGGAAGGTTTCCTCTTCCCACGCCTTTCACCACATCAGCCAGAAGCCTTTCACCAGTTACACTGACACAGCATGTCCCGGTCAGCTGTTGATCATACAATGAGGCACATTTTAAAAGGAGGAATCTGTCACTTTTTGTTTTCTGTATGCCTTGTAGATGTTTTGTACTTCATTCCCTTCATTACTGTATTCTTTTTCTTTTTTAAAATGAATTCTTCATTTCATTTCATTTTGATTTCTCTTCACTATCACACTTTCCTCTTCTACTAGTTTCTGTGTTTCATTTTGATTCCTCCTTAAGATTTCATTTTCACGAGAGAGATTTTATATGCTGTCCAGTAAGGATTTCTGTAGTTCAAGAATTTGCTTTTGAAAACTTCTAAATGTTCTTATCATAAATTTTTTGAAATCCGTATCTTGCATTTCTTCTGTCTCATCATCTTCATAATCTTGGCTTGGGGTGTTTTGTTCATTTGGGGGTATCATAATGTCTTCCTTGTTCTTGTTTCCTCAGTTTCTGCATTTGTTGCTTGGCATTGTGGAGATATTCTTTGGATTCTTCTTCCCTCACTGTGGTGTTTTTTTCTTGTTATACTGTGACTGTATTAAGTGGACTGTCGACTTTTGATGGAGCCTTAGAGGCTTGAGATGAGTGGCCAGAGAGCTCTGTTTGGTTCCTCAGGGTTAAGGGTGTGCCGCGGTGACACACCCAGGTTAGGCATGGTAGATCTCTCTCTCTCTCTCTTTCTTTCTCTCTCTCTCTCTCTCTCTTTTTTTTTTTTTTGATTCAGAAGGGAAGTAATTCTGCACAGCTGAGTGGAATTGAAGGTAGTCAGCTTCTGATCTCTGGCTCCTGTGGCTGTAACATTTGTCTGCTCTTTCCCAAGGAACACACAAAGAATCTGTTCTGCCCTCAGTGTGGGCTCAAATTCTCCTGCAGTCTCCCACTGGGTTGCCAAGATTACCGAATTGTAGCGTCTCTGGAGAGTATTCACATGAACTCAGTGAGTTCTCTCACCCACGTCTCTTTTTTCACAGTCTCAGTTCATTAGCTCCACACATTCACTAGGTCCTAACCTCCTGTTGTTTCACCCCGCCCCAGAGTCAGGTTTTTCTGCTTGGCTGAGGGCGGGTGCAGTCCTGAGGTCGCGCAGCTTTTATGTATGTCCAAAATGGCACCTGTTCTTTGTCTTGCTCGCCTTTGAGAGATGAGCAGAAGAGAGAGAAACTCATGTCCGTACAGGTCCCTTTTTTTTTCCTCTCTCCTCTAGTTAGCCTGGTGAACTTTCCCCAGCGGGGCTTCAAGCCTCGTTCCCTCTAGGCTCCTCCTTCTACTTTCCCACTGGTGTCTCAGGCTACTGAGGTTCAGCTCACCTCGCATTCCAGCGCTGGTGCGCAGATTCTGCGGCTGACATCCTGAGCCCTGGGCTCCCTACCATGCCCTCCATGCAGGTCTACCATGCCCTCCATGCAGGTCCACCATGAATCACTAGTTCTGGAAGAGTTTCCTCTGCTGTTTCTTCCCCAACTCTTCCTTGAACCTGCAGTATCTCCACTTTTATTAAACTGTCTCTTCCCAGACTATCAGTGTGCTCACTTCCTATTCCACCATCTTGCCGGCAAATCTCAATGGATAAATTACTATAGCCTCGATTTATTTATTTATTTGAAAGGCAGAGTTACAGAGAGGCTGAGAGAGAGAGAGAGAGAGAGAGAGAGAGAGAGAGAGAATATGTCTTCCATCCACTGGTTCACTCTCCCAAATGGCCACAACAGCCAGATCTGCACCAATCAGAGGCCAAGAGCCAGTAGCCACCTCCAGGTCTCCAATGCAGGGAAAGGGACCCAAGGACCTAGGCCATCCTCCACTGCTCCCCCAGGCCACAGCACAGAGATGAATCAGAAGTGCAGCCAGGACAAAATCTGGTGCCCATATGAAATGCCGGCACCGCAGGCGGCGGCCCCACATGCTACATCACGGCGACAGCCCCCGTATCAGTAAGTATTATAAACCAGACTCTATAGAATACTATACAGCAGTCAAAAACAACAAAACCCAGTCATTTGCAACAGGATGGAGGAATTTGGAAAACATCATGCTGAGTGAATTAAGCCAGTCCCAAAGGGACACATATCATATGTTCTCCCTGATCAGCAACAACTAACTGAGCACCAAAGGGGAAACTTGTTGAAGTGAAATGGACACTATGAGAAACAATGACTTGATCAGCTCTTTTCCTGACTGTTGATGTACAATGTAATACTTTAGCCATTTTAGTATTTTTTTTTGTTCTAGTACCATTGGTTGAACTCTGTAATTAACACACAATTATTCTTAGGTGTATAAATTTTAACTGAAAAGTGATCCCTGTTAGGAATTTGGAAAACATTATGCTGAGTGAAATAAGCCAATCCCTAAGGGACAAATACCACTTGTTCTCCCTGATAGGTGACAACTAACTGAGCACCAAAAAGGAAACCTGTTAAGGTGAAATGAACACTATGAGAAACGGTGACTTGATCAGCCCTCACCCTGTTGATGAACAACTTAATATGTTATCCCTCTTAGTATTTTTTTTTTTGGTTTGTTCTACTTGATACTTTTGGTTGAATTCTGTAATCAATACACAATTCTTCTTAAGTGCTGAAACTTAACTGAAAAGTGATCGCTGTTAAATATAAAAGTGGGAATAAGAGAGGGAAGAGATGTGCAATTCGGGACATGCTCAAGCTGACTTACCTCAAACAGTAGAGTTAGAAACATACCAGGGGATTCCAATTCAATCCCATCAAGGTGGCGTGTACCAATGCCATCTCACTAGTCCCAGTGATCAATTTCTGTTCACAATTGATCATAATGATAGGACTAAGAGTCAAAGGGAACACATAAAGAAGACTAGTGTCTGCAAATACTAACCGATAGAATCAAAAAGGGAGAGAATGATCCAACATGGGAAGTGAGATACACAGCAGACCCATAGAATGGCAGATGTCCTAAACAGCACTCTGGCCTCAGAATCAACCCTTAAGGCATGTGGATCCGGCTGAAAAGCCTATGAGAGTATTTCAGGCATGGAAAGCCAAGGCACTCTGGGGAAAAAAAATAAATGAAAGATCTCCGCAAGTGAGATCCCAGTGGAAAGAATGGGTTATCAAAGAAGGAGGTACCTTTCTCTGAAGGGAGGAGAGAACTTCCACTTTGACCATGGCCTTGTCTAAATATGATGAGAGTCTGTGAACTCAGGGGGCTTCCATAGCCTTGGCAGCTCATGACAAGAGCCTAGGGTGATTACTGACGCCATAAACAAGAGTGTCAATTTGTTAAGTCAACAACAGGAGTCACTGTGCACTTACTCCTCATGTAGGATCTCTGTCCTTAGTGTGCTGTACATTGAGATTTAATGCTATAACTAGTACTCAAACAGTATTTTTCACTTTATGTTTCTGTGTGGGAGCAAACTGTTGAAATCTTTACTTAATGTATGCTAAACTGATCTTCTGTATAGAAAGAGAATCGAAAATGAATCTTGATGTGAATGGAAGGGGAGAGGGAGTGGGAAAGGGGAGGGTTGGGGGTGGGAGGGAAGTTATGGGGGGGAAGCCATTGTAATCCATAAGCTGTACTTTGGAAATTTATATTCACTAAATAAAAGTTAAAAAAAAAGAAATTAAGAACATCTTCAAAAAATTTTCAGAAGGTTGTGTATTCTAAACATAAGCATACTACTCTGTAGCTTATACTTCCAAATTTTGGCTATGAAGTTCCTAGAAAAGTAACAATATTTTTCCTGGAAAAATGGCTATTGCTATGAGTTCATCAGGGTATCAAACCTTGGAATATATTTGCCAGAAAATTTTCTCCATTTGGTCCCCATCAAAATTTTGAAATGGGTCATAAATAAAAGCAAATATGGAATAAGTAAATTACAGGAGGGACTTCAAAAAGGGTGAAACCAAAGAGACCAAAGAGAAGTAAAGATAGCTTGTTAACTTTTGAAGTCCTAAAAGAAACATTCAGAGGCCAGAGCTGTGGATAGCTGGTAAATCCACCACCTGCAATACCGGCATCCCATATGGGCACCAGTTGAAGTCCTGGCTGCTCCACTTCC